CCCTGTGTTTTTGCACCCTGACCCCGCCGATCTGCGTGAGGGGTGCCAGCGAATTTCAGAAATATGGCAAATCCTTTGTGTTTTTTGGACCCTGACCCCGCCGATCTGCGTGAGTGGTGTAAACTTTTACCCACCCAAGCAATTCAGACAACACGCTCAGGGCGTGCTAAGCCTGCCCGTTTGGGCCTCCCCCCCCCCGCGCGGTCCATCAACAAGGAACAGTAAGCAGCAAGAAGCAGAACTGTAACAGTGGAAACTGGAAGCTGCAACTGATACAGGAAACTGCGAACCTTCGGCCTACAGCATGGTGGCCCCACAAGGGGGCCGGCGGATTCGAATTATTACTATTCGTAGTTTTTTAATTAGTAGTATTATTCTTATTATTCTTAGTACTGTTATTAGTATTAGTAGTATCATTATTATCTTTATTATTGGTCTAGTATTCGTTTTTCATCTGTATCAGTTATATTCTTATTATCCGTATTATTTGTAGCATTACTCGTTTGTCCTATCAGTATTATTATTATTCCTCCTACTCTACTTCCTCCTCCTCTTCCTCCTCCTCGTGCCCCTGATACTGCTTTTCCTCTTGGTTCTCCTCGCTCCTCTTCGTCCTACTAGTTCTCCTCTTCACCCTCCTATTCTTCCTCTCGCTGGAGTTCGCATCAGCATTTACGTACTCAGGCATGGCGCTCCTGCTTTAGACTTCCGTGCAAACGACTGATCTCGCCTCGGCGCCGGCTACTTGCTGTTCCCTGTTGTCAGGGATGCATGTACCGCTCCCAGAGCATAGTTCGATGTCCCAAGCGTGCTCAGATTTGTTGGTCCTGCCCTCGCCTCCCTTCTCTCTCTTCCTCTCCTCTTCTCCTTCCACATCCTCCCTCTCTCCCCGCCCCCCTCATTAGCCTCTCCCTTCCCTCTTCATTCCTCGTCACGCTCTGGCTAGAGATTTCTCCACAGTTCACTCGGGCACTGCTCTCCCGCCTGAGACGTCCTTACAAATGCCTGATATTTTTCTTTACGGATGAAACAGGAATCCTGCTCTCACCTCGGCGCTGGGTAATTGTTCCGTCGGGCTAGGGGCGCTTAGACCCCCTGCTGGAGCACAAGTCAATAACAGAAAGTCAATCAACACGATCTTTTGGGCTGATGTCGTCTGCCTCTTGCCTCCTCTCGGAGCCTAGTTACGAGAATGTATCAAGCAAAAGGGCCTGACCACCTCGCGCGAGACATCTCGGAGCTCAGATCTCGTACTTCAAAGTTTGCGGTCACTCTTGCACATGCCGAAGCAAAATAGTTGATTCGTTGTGGTAGTGCCAATACCTAAAAAGGTTGTCGCGGCTCACGCTCGAAGTTGGCGCTTCCTTGGATTGCAGAGTGCGGTTCGGGGATTGCGTGCCCATCGTGAGAAGAATATTGCCCCGCTCTTGAGGGCGGGAGAGGGACGGGGGGGGAAGGTCTACGTCGAGAAGGAGCAAGACGAGGCTGTGGAGGAAGGGGGGAACGAAGATTTGGAGACAGAGGCTGGGGCAGAGGCGGATGCGGTTGCAGCGGTGGAGACGGAGGAGGAGGAGGAGGAGGAGGAGGAGGAGGAGGAGGAGGAGGAGGAGGACGAGGAGGAGGGGGGGAGGAGGGGGAGGGGGGGGAGGGGGAGGGGGAGGGATGATGATGATGATGATGATGATGATGAGGATGATGAGGAGGAGGAGGAGGAGGAGGAGGAGGAGGAGGAGTAGGAGGAGGAGGGGGGGAAGCAAGACTAGGAGCAGGAGCAGGAGGGGACCAGAAGGAGAAACAGAAACAAAAAAGGAGGAACAGAAACGTTGTGTGCTGCAGTCTATGAACAGAAGGGTGCTGCCAGAAGCTTCGCCAGCAGCCCAGCAGCGTGCAGCTGTGCGTATCCCGAGGGTTGGCGAAGGCTGAGATTCGATCTACAGTTGGCTGAACCCACTTCTCCCTCCATACCTTCACTCCCTTCCACTCCCTCCCTCCTGTCTCCCCCCTCCGCCGCCGCGTCCACCTCTGTCTCCGCTTCCTCTTCTGCATCCCTCCTCCCATTTGTCCCGCCTCCCTGCTGCGGTTGTGGCTGCCTCTGTCCACCGGCGCCTCACGCAGGTCTTCAGAGACGACCCCGTGACATGCTTCGAGACGGTCGCGCGGGCTGGGCGCAGTGTAAGACATACACCTGGCGCAAATTTCTCCCCCGCTCCTTCCTTAGCCCCGCATCCGCACGCGGTACGTCGTGCCTCATCGTCGCACCATGCCTGTCTGAGCCTGGCGGGCCGTCCGCTCCGCCCGAGCTTACGCGGGTGGAGGGGGAGGCTCTTTGTCAAACTGTGGCTCTCGCGTTAGTGCCGCGCACGTTCGCCTTCATTTCTTCCAGCAGCTGTCCCTGAGATAACCTGCGTCAGCGAACGGCGCGTCCCGTTGGGCATTGGTGCTCGTCCGGCCCGTTGTCACGCGAACCCCAGTTGAGTGCAGAGCGTGCAAGGAAAGGAACATGTGCGACGTTTCGCGCAGTTATCCCCACCAGCCCATCAAGGATCAAAGCGCAGGGTGTCGCCCTTACCGGGGGAGCGTGGCATCATCGGGATGCCTCGTGGAACCTCTGTTGGCCAGAAGCTCCTCGGAGGCATCCTTGGGTCTCTTGGGGTGCCTCTTGGGGGGGGCTCTTGGGGGCTTCTTGAAGGCCTCTTGGGGCGTCTTGGGGGCCTCTTGCCGGCTCATGGTGGCTTCTTGGAGCGTCTTGGTTGTGTTTGGGGGCCTCCTGGGCCTCTTGGGGGCCGCTAGGGGGCCTCTTCGAGGCCTCTTGGGGGCCTCTTGGGGCCTCTTGGCCTGGGGCCCTCCTGGGGCTCCCTTGGGGTCTTCGCGGGCCGTCTCGGAAGCCAGCGAGGTAAGCAGAGGGGCTCCTTGCCTCGCCCCCCCCAGGAATCCAAAATTGGGCCAAAACCTTGGTAGGGTTATCATGCAACCATATGCAACAGCGAGTACCGCAGGGAAGGCGGGACGAAGTGGAAGCTCCCTGTGGGGCCACGAATCGTGTGAGGGGTGCGCCGAAATTGGCGGAGGGGCGCATGCGAACCCTGACACTGCGGCATTCGGTGGAGCTCCTTGTGGAGCCACGAAACATGTGAGGAGTGGCGAAAGTGGCGGGGGGGACGCATGCGAACCCTGCCACTGCGGCATTCGGTGGAGCCCCCTGTTGGGCCACGAAACGTGCGAAGGGCGTGCCGGATGAGAGGCGGGAACCCATGTGAACCTTGCCACTGGGGCCTTCGGTGGAGCTCCCTATGAGACCACGAAGCGTGTGATGGGCGTGCCGAAATGAGAGGCGGGAGCGCATGCGAGCTCCTCTACTGGGGCTTTCGGTGGAGCTCCCGATGGGGCCATGAAACGCGTGAGGGACACGCCGAAATGAGAGGCGGGAATGCGTGTGAACTCTGTCACTGCGGCATTCGGCGGAGCTTCCTATGCTGCTACCAACGTGTCATGGACGTGCCGAAATTAGAGGAGGGAGCGGATACGGGGGCCTTCGGTGGAGCTCGGTGGAGCCACTGGGGCCTTCGGTGGAGCTCCAGAGGCCACGACGCGTGTGAGGGGTGTGTCAATATGAGAGATGAGGGAGGGAAGACGAGGGAGGAGTGACGCGGCTGGCTGCAGAATCAAAACGAGGACCCAATACCACAGTATGAGTGGGAATAAATGATTGTTGTTTTCTCGCTGATGCCATCTTGGACGCTCTAACTCGCGACGGCTCCCCTTCCAGACCCAGGAGGGAGGGGGAAGGGGTAAACCCCTCCTTACGGGGGACGAAGGGAGGAGGATGAATCGGAAACGTTCTAAACCACCTCAGCCCAGAGGGCCAGTGGGATTTCAGGGCCACCGAAGACGCTGGTGTGAACAACGTGTCCTTTGAACGCGGTCGGAACGGACCTGACTCAACGTTCTCCGATGCAAAATGATGCAGATCATCTCACGAAAGCTCACCAGGGCCACGAAAGGCGACGTTTATTAACATGACTGGAAGACGCTGCCGTGTGAGACTCTATATGGAAATCTCCCGCGTGTCCTCATCGAGTAGGCCGCTTTTGTGTGAGTCCCAATCGCGTAGGGAGCTTTTGTATGGAACCGCCTCGTGTGAGACCCTTTCCAACCGCCCGGCTCCTCGTCGCGTGAGACGTGGTCGAAATGTCCCCAGCCTTGTGCAGGACTTTACCGCGTGGGACCTTCTCGCGGGGGGCTTGACTCTGTGGAACTCCATCGCGTGCGATCCTGCTGCGGTCCTGTCGATAGTGCGGCACACTCGCTTGAGGCCGTTTGACGGGCCTGGGGGGGGCCCTCTTGGGACGTCTTCCTGTGTCTGCGGGGCCGTCGTCGCGATGCATCTTGAACTGTCTGGCGAGCCTCGCGGGCCGTCTTGCCGGGGCCCCCGCGGGTCATCTTGGGGACCTTTTTGTGGCTTTCGTGAACGTATTGCAGTCGTCTTGGGTCTTGGAGAGCCTCTTAGAGCTGCTTTGGAGGGCCATCTGGGGACCCCGTATGGGCGCCTTCACGGACCGTCCTCGGCTCCTCGGGGGGGCTTTTCTTGGGTCGTCCGTGGGTCCGTCTTGGGCCATCTCCAGCCCATCTTTGTGTCGTCTTAGCACCCTTCAGCAGTGACGTTGCCGCCTTTCCTCCTCCACCTCCACCTCCTCTTCCTTCTCCTCCTCCTTCTCCTTCTCCTCCTTTTCTTCTGTCTCCTCCTCCTCCTCCTCCTCCTCCTCCTCCTCGTCTTATGCAGTGTTTCACACGCGCATACTTTAACAGGCGCCTCGGTGCCGCCCCATCCGCGCCTTCCTTGCGCCACGCGCGCGGAGCCGTACTCGTAGCCGTAGCACCCGCCTGTCCCGTTTTCAGCCCCTCCGAGGTGGCCACTCTTCGGCCGCCTGGGGTCCATCCTACTTTTTGTCCGGGTGGGCGTGTTATTGCCCTTCTTGGGCGATCTAGTGAGGCCTTCTTGGGCCGCCGTGAACGCTCCCATGATGGAACCGCCGAGTATGCAACAAGCGTGCAACAATTGGGAAATCAGTGACATGTTTTGGGGGGATTTTGTTGGATAGCCTTTTGGCCATCTCGAGCCGTTTCGGTTGCGTCTTGAGACTTGGAAGCTCCTTGGCACAGGCTGGAGGCCAGAAAGGGCGCAGTTGCACCAACTTGCGCGATCTCGGAAGCCATGTTGAGCCGTTTTGGATCATTTTTGCGAATCTGGGCGTGTTTCTGGGGCAGATGAGCTTGCCAGCACCGTTGGCCAGGCACCTCCTCTTCCCCTCCAAGTCGGCCTGACCTGGCTCCTAGGAGGGGGATTTGGGGAGGAGCAGTGATTTCACACGCCGAGGAAGGTCCACTGGGTTGGCGTACTTTCAATGGCCCGTATATCCGCGTGAACCGTCCCATCAGTGCGTCTCCATGCGTCCGCTCAGTCCGATTTGGCACCATTCGTCTATCCGCATTGCGAACGGATTCATGCCTGTTGAGTTCGACATCTTTTTAGCACAAGGTGACAGATGACGCCCGCGCGATTCGGTCCCATGATGTCTTAGGCGGGGCCCTTGCAGACGAGGCCGATTGCTGTTGGCATGGGTCTTTTGACAGCCTTGCGCATGTCGTCCGTGAAGATCTCCCCACCAGCGCCGGGCAATGAGGCTGGGCATCAGTTTCTGGGACATCGCCGAGAAGAGTGGACGGATTTTGTAAACCAGTTGCGCTTGTATCATTCGGTTTGCAACACATACTGGCCTGATACCTTGGAGCCTGTGACTGTGGACAGCTGTGTCTGCAGCCAGTATCACAACCGCGCTTCTACGACGTCCCAGGCGTACCTGAACCACAGAGGTCCAAGCACGGTGACACGATGCGTTTGTGCGTGCCGATGCGACTTGTTCATCGTGGTTGATCGGCCATTTCTTGCGGTACAGTACCAATCCATTGCAAGTCTTGGTGGTTTGCATATTCTCACCCCATGGCGCAGGAGGACGCCGACGCGTTGGACGCATTAGAATCTTGGTAGATGTGGATCGCGCAGAGGTCCATGCTGAAAACCCCCCAAGGACATAGCTCCAGACCCGATGGCAGAAGAGTGAGCCCGATGTTCACGAAACAGGTCCAGAATCTCCTTCCCACTCACGTCGCTTACGACACCCCGCCGGCAAACGAGGGTGGATGGGGGCAGGAGTCGACTAGACGTAAGAGTGACCTTTCGCTGGAGTGACATTTGGTGCGGGCTCATCGGGCTCCCCCCGATCGCCGAGCGCGATGCGATACAAGCGGCCCGCGCCCTTGGGTTTGGCTCCCTCGCGCCCCCAAAAGCTGCACACCAAAGGTCACTCTTACCCAGGGTCACTCTTACGCCTAGCCGAAGGAGGGGAGAGAGGCAGGAGGGGGAGAGGCGGAGGCCAGGTCGCCCCCGGGGGCGCGGGGAGAATCGCGCCTGAAGCGTCGCGGTCTGAGCAACAGCGGCTGCCCCCCTCTCCAAGGGGGCGGCGCGAGGGCGCCGTGGCGCGAAGAGGATCGCGCGGTGCGCGTCGCGGGGCGCGGGGCGCAAAGCTTGGGTGACCCGGAAAGGCTCGGCATCGCTCGGACGTGTGCATTGCCTTCTCGGCGAGGACCATCGAAGAGAAGAAACCGACGTCCTCGGGCCAGGGCCAGGGCCACGGCCATCTCGGAGAGGACCTCGGGCCAGGGCCATCGGGATTGGGGTCGTCTTGCGAAGAAAAGCACGCACGAAACCGAACAACGCGCGGGGAACGGACGTCCGAGCGAGGGCGAGCAGGGCGGGGGAGGAGTTGCGAGGTCGCCGCGGTGCTGCAGACCTGGGCGCGCCCGTGGGCCGACGAGCTGCCAGGCGCGCCTTTCCCAGGGGCGGCCCCCTCTGTCCTCCCCGCGAGCTGGAGGGGGAGGGAGGGGTCGGCAGCGTCGTCGTCGTCGTCGTCGCCGTCGGCGTCGTCGTCGAGGAGAAAGAGGAGGAAAAAATACAGTGGTCACCTGTGGAGGGGATCAACAACAACAGTAATTCTTTAGACATGAGCATTCAACGGCTCCCGTCTGATATTTCCTCACAGTGTATTGAGAAGTCGCGCTCTCGCGCGGGACTTCCTCACAATGAATGCAGGAATCGCGATCTCGCGTGGGACGTCCTCGCAATTTATTCAAACGCCGCGCCCTCGACACTCAGGAATCACACTGGCTGTGGACGTCCTGACGATTTACTGGGGAATCGCGCTATGGCTCGAGACTTCCTCGCGATGCATGCCGGACGCACGCTTCAGCAACGCGCCTGCTCGATCTGGCCGTCTGGGTCCACCTTCCCGACCTGACTGTTATTGTCTACCCGCCTGATCTGCCCGTGAGGTTCTACCACGTTTTTTTTGCTCCTGGTCCCCCTCCTGCTGCTCTCTCTCTCTCTCTCGTGCTCCATCCTCCTCCCTCCCCCGTGTCCCTTCCTTCCATCCGTCCTCTCTTCACCTGCCGTCCGGACTGCACGGAATACATGTTGCAGATAAGAAGATATACCCCCAAGGGGGTACGATCGAAGACGAAGAGGGCGAGTATCGAGGGTTTGGGATAGATGTAGTGAATGGCACGCGAGCAGATAAGAGCGAACAGTCCTTAACTTGTTGTTGTTGTTGTCATTGCTGTTGTTGTCGTTGTTTTTGCTGGTGCTGTTGCTGTTGCTGTTGCTGTTGTTGGTGTTGTCGTAAACCTGGGGCCAGGGGCACAGTCTGAGCCTCAAGACCTTCCTTGTGAAAAACAGGGTGCGAGCCCTGGGAGGGGCACCTCAACCGAGGAAGCATACGGTCGGCCTGTCTGTGATTGGCACCGAAGGGGAGGGATCGTCGATTTGACAGTAAATTAATATTCTTTAGAAATGAGGACTCACTAGACAAAGAAGCAGAATCCGCGCCGCGGAGTCTCACTTCAGCCACGCACCCATGGACAATGAATGACCGTTCGACACCTTCATTATGATAAGCTTTAAAGTGGGTCTGTCTGCAGAAAGGACGGGACCCGGAATCCGGGAAGCCTCTTTGTGGGACAGGGTCAGGATTCGAACCCGAGTTCGACCCAGAATCCGCTCTTTCCATGTATACGCACCCACAACACCGTATTTTGATCAGGGTCTCTCCAGGCGCAAGCCAGGGATGGTGCCTAATACATGATTGTCAGAGGATTATCCCGTTTCTATTGTGCAGTGCGTCACGGTCCCCAGCCTGACCGGCAACTCCACCGCCGGTTGGCAGGGGCGGTGGTCGGGTCTCAACACCGCGTCGTCTTCCCCAACGGGATGCCCGCCCACGTCTTCCGCGCCACGGACAGCGCCCCAGACGGCACCCACCAGGACGACTCCGAGGACCGCTTCCGAGGACCGCTTCGTCGCCACTTGTGTGTGTGTGTGTGTGTCTCCGCCGGGGCTGCTGGCCTAAGCGCGTCCTTCGGACGTGTGCGCCTTTCTGGTGGCGCCGCTCGCCCCAGGCCAACGAGCAGCAGCCCCCAGACAGCTTCGGCATGGTCATGGCGTTGGCGGGCACGGTGTTCTTCTTCGGGAGGGCGCCGTGGCGAAGGCGGTGGAGATGGCGGGCGACCCGTGCGTCTTCGACCGCTTGCTGCGTGGGCGGTGACGTGGTCACAATTTTTCGTGGGAATGAGGTACCTGTGTACCTTGCTTGGGAGCCTGGTGATGTGAAGTACTACCCTGGGGTCTGGGCGGATACTGAAGATTGCCAAGAGCTTGATCGGCGAGATCATGTACACCATGCAGTTGATCAGTGTGATCATGTACTCCATCATGTTCAGTTTTGTGATTTTCGGGACGGAGAGTGCTTATCCCCAAGGCTCACTGTGGGGGACGAGTATGACGAAAGAGGACATACTACGAGCTGGGTGGCGACCTGTGCGAATACCACAGGCGGGGGCCCTACGACTGCAGAGTGCGAGCTGCCAGCTGACCCCCTTCTCGGAGGAGGTGGCAGAGGTGGTGCCAAGAGGACGACACGCCGAGCTGATCAAGCCGCGGTTCTTCAGGGTCTTGTGAAGGCCGTGAGCGCGATCCAGCAACATATCGGGCTGCCGCAGGAGTCCCCTGCAGCGGCGTGGCAGGCGACCTCGCCTGTCGCGCCCAAGGCTAAGCCCAAAAAGAAGAAGGTGAAGTTCACGGACATCCAGATCGTGGAGCGGCTGCGGAGCCTCATCGGCTATGTCGACGAGGCCACGGGCGCCCAGAGGCAGGCCATCACGACGGCGGTGGTCTGCAACAAGCTTAAGGAGCTCATCGCGTCCTTCAGTGCTGCCAAACCTGACAGCCCTCTGGAGGAGACGACGACGACTACGGCTACTGCTACGGAGCGAATGGTTGCGGAACCCTGGGGGGCTGCGGCCCTGGTAGCCGCGGGCCAGGCCCGCTCCAAGCTCGAGACGATCACCGACCCGCTGATCATCTTCTCCTCCACGGAGGCGGAGTACACGGCGGCAGAGCAGGTGAGACGTGCATATGGCAACAGGACGGACATCACGCATGTGGTCCTTGACGCATCAGGTGAAGATCATGTACTCCTCCACGGGCCGAAAGGCCCGAAGAACATGAAGGCTCGCATCGTATACCACGGAGAGCTCGCCCCTCGTAGGGCGGGCTTGGACGCGGCCATCAAGGACGACGAGGTGGTCCAGCACGAGAAGCTGTCCCTTGTCAGCTTTCGCATCACTGTGGTGCAGGAGATGACGGATGAGACGCTCTACCACCAGATCTACAATCAGCCCCAGGCGATGCCGACGGTGGTGCTGGGTGAGGTAGCAGCGGCTCAGATTGTACGTACGCGGGGTGCTATTGCATATGAGGCCGAGACGACATGTGTGGTCACGGTCCCGAAGAGCTTTGAGGTGAAGATGACCGAGATCTTACCGCCGCTGGGTTGTTTTATTATGAAGCAGGCCTCGACGACGACTCCCAAGTGGTTTACCCAGAATGAGGAGGAGTCGCCGAAGGATTATCTCAAAAGAGTGTGTGGGCTGCTGAAGGAGAAGCGTAACCTGCTGGTGTACCGCCCGTACGGGCGGGCCAAGCTTGGTGCGACGACGCAGGTCAACGCGCCAGGCATGCTCGAGCTCACCAAGTACTATGTCAAGCATGCTCTTCCAACCTGGACGACGCCACAGATGGTGGCGGACTGGGCCACGGAGAGAGGGTTCTTGCGGGTGCAGGAGCCAACAAGGGCTGGGCCGAGGGCCTGGTTGTTCTATGCTGAGCCGCCGCAGGGTGTGGTGGCGACGAGCTTCTCATTCAAGAGCGGAGTGTTGGTGACCAAGGCCGTCAGACCTCAGGCGCCAGCACGACAGAAGCCCAAGGAGGGTGCAGCACCGACGACCAGGAGTGCGTGGGGCGCGGCCAAGCCGAGGGTCCAGAACATCGACGACGATACTGGAGGCCAGGCAGATCCGACGGCTACGGCGACGACTCCAGCAGCGACTACACCGCCTGCCGGAGCACCAACGGTCACGCCGACGAAGGATGACGTCAAGACGGAGGCGAAGGAGGAGACCAAAGTCGAGTCCAAGCCGAAGTTGCAGAGAGGCGAAGATGGCAAAGCTGTGGGTAAATATGTGACTCCATATTCTAAGTGGTTCAAAGTTATTCAATGTGCTGGTGATGGTGATTGCTTTTATATTGCTGCGGGCCGTGGTCTGCATCATGTCTCTCCGAGCGGGCGGGTCCCGCCCATCAACGCCTTCGAGCCGAAGGGTCCGATCCAGGGCCACCTACGCATGCTTGTGCAGAGGGCAGGCTTGAAGAAGGTGTATGGGACGACGAAGCTGCAGGCGGAGTATCGCGGCACGACGGGGAACCCTGCGGGAGCCCTCGCGGTGAGGCTACTTGCGCACGAGGCGAAGACGGATATCTATATCTGGGCGAAAGATGCGAATGGCAAATGGATATTGTACGGACGAGAGCCGAATTCTAAGACAAAGAAGAAGGAGATCTGGTTGACCTTGGAGGACCAGCACTACCAGTGGTTGGAGCCTCGAGCGGACATCCAGGACTTGCCCGAGTACCAGAACACGTTACGGCTGTGGCGTGATCAAGGTTTCCCGCACCCCCAGCATGGCCTACAGGGCAGTGGCGAGGGTGACGGTGATGATGCTGATATGTTATCTCTTCTTGGGCTGCGCAGTACACCGACAGCGCACTCAGGGGCTATTGCGAGTATCCTTGGACTGGATGAACGTGCAGACGAGATGCGCAGTCTCTTGGGCTTGGAGTCTGGCGGGGCCGAGGCCTTGGCGGAGGAAGCTGCAGGAGACGATGATGAGGCATTTAAGCAGTTTTGGTCTTGGCAAACTGGTGAATATTACAAGTGTGACAAGTGTGGTTGGACGCCCGACACATCCGACAAAGTGTGGTTGGGGAAGCGCAAGTACAACTCCTTGCTCAGCGTGCAGGCGGACAGGCACTGGAGGAAGTGCCAGGGCAAGCCGGCGCCCAAGATCGGGAAGATTGTGCACTCGCATATCTCCCAGTTTCTCGCGAACTCCGCCAAGATTCGCGAGAACGTACGCCAGCGTGGGTTTGCCAAGCATCTGTTGTGGAAGGCGAAGCTACCTATTAGTATTCAAGAGGCCGTGTGTGAATATGATCCTCGTACGGTGTTGACGATCCCGAACGCCACGAAGAACTTCACGGCCTACAAGTGCACGAGGTGTGGTATCCAGAGGGCGCTCGGACAGGCGCCGTGGAACATATGCAGTGGAAGACATAACAAAGTTACGCGGAAGCAGTTCTTGACGAGTACGGTCGGGGTAGCACGTATGCGGCACTACTTCGAGGTGGAGCAGAAGCGCATCCAGAAGAAGAAG